AAAAAAACTAAGATCATGGCCACTGGTCCCATCACATCCTGGCAAATGGAAGGGGAAGATTTATGGAGGCAGTGACAGATTTTACTTTCTTGGGCTCCATGATCACTGCAGATGGTGACAACAGCCACGAAATCAAAAGATGCCTGCTTCTTGGGAGGAAAGCAATGACAAACCTAGACAGCATCTTAAAAGGCAGGGGCACCACCTTGCCGACAAAGGTCCACATAGTCAAAGCTATGGTTTTTCCGAAGAATTGATGAGTTTAAATTGTGCTGGAGGAGACTGTTGAGAGTCCCCTGGACTCCAAGGAGATCAAACATATCCGTTCTGAAGGAAATCAACCCTGAGCGCTCACTGGAAGGACAGATCCTGAAGCTGAGGTTCCAATAATTTGGTCATCTGATGAGAAGAGAAGACTCCCTGGAAAAGACCCTGATGTTGGGAAAGTGTGAGGGCAAGAGGCGAAGGGGACGTCAGAGGATGAGATGGTTGGGCAGTGTCACCGAAGCTACCAACATGAATTTGACCAAACTCCGGGAGGCAGTGGAGGATAGGAGGGTCTGGCATGCTCTGGTCCATGGGATCGCAAAGAGTTGGACACGACTTAACGACTAAAGAACAATAAGTGTTGTGCATGTTTCTTGGAGCACAAACCTGGTGTCATTGGCATATCTTAAATCACTAGTGTTTCTTCCACCAGTTTTCACTCCTCTCTCATCTGAACCTACCCCAGCTTTCGATATGATATGTTCTGTGTACAGACTGAACAGACAGGGAGATAAAATGCATCCTTGTCTGACACCTTTGCCTATAGAAAACTCTTCTGTCTCTCTGTTAGCTGTTCTAACTGTAGCTTCTTTTCCACAATACAGGTTACACATCACGACAATCAAGTGCTGAGGCACACCCATTTCTTTCAGAACAACCCATAGTTTCCCATGATCTACTCAAAGGCTTTGCTGTTGTCTATAAAGCATATAGACTGATCTTCTGAAATTTTTTTGTGTGCTCCAGAAGCCAGTGACTGTTAGCAATCTGAAATGCTTCTTCCTTTTTGAAATCAATCTTGAACATCAGGCATTTCTCACTCTATATGAGGTGAAAGCCATTGTTGCAACATCTTGAACATCACTTTGCTTGCATGAGAAATTAAAGGAACGCTCCTATATTTACTTTACTCCTTGGCACGTCCTTTCTTAGTGATTGGAATGTATATCAAACATTTCTAGTCTCTGGGCCATTGTTGTATTTGAGCCATGAAACAGTTGTATATCTATATAGCTATATCTATATGTATCTATATCTATACCACCCACCTCTCATGACATTTCTTCCTAGTGCTTTCAGAGAAGTGTTCACTTTCCAGAACAGCAGATTCTTCAGCATGGGCTTCCTCTTCAAAGGAATTTGTCACTGTTATGTCCCTTCTGTATAGGTATTTCGTATACTGTTTCAACCTTCTCTTTATTTTCTCCTGGTCAGATAGTGTGCATCCCTATTGGTCATTCAGCATTCCTAATCTAGGCATGAATTTCCCTCTGATTCCTTGGATTTTCTGGAAGAGATTTCTTGTTTTCCCCCTTTTTATTATGTTATCTATTCTGTGTGTGAGAGAGAGACTTTCATTATTATCCACAGTTTTCAGTACCCTCAGGGGGCTTGGAACCAATCCCCGGTGGATATGGGGGTCCTACTGTTCTTTTCTTTGTCTCACATGACAGTTGCTGAAAAACTACATTCAGGGCTGTGACCCTATTTCCATCACCTTTTACTTTTGCTTCTTGTCTGTCCTTTGCAGTTTAAAGTTAATTAAATGTTTCTTCCATCATCCATCTGGGTTTTTCTTTCTTTATTTACTACAGGAATTGTCTTTTTGCTTTTTTTCCCTGGGAGCAATAGATTATTTTATATGTCTAGATCCCTAGCCCAGTCACTTAAGACAGAACTATATCTCCTTCTGGGACATTTACAGTGCACATTTTCCTGGCACAGCTTCATGGGATGGCAAATGAAAAGCAGGTAAGCCAAAGCACTTTCTCCTCCAAAAGAGGGTAGGATCTCTCACCAGTTTTCCTAATCCTTTCTATACCTTAAATGAGCCATTCCAAAACTGACATAAACAAGGACTTAATCCTTTTTCATGTTTCCCCAAAAGAATAGCATATTCCTCTCTTCTTTGTTTCTCACAGCCCCAAATTCTATGACTCTGGGGAAGGAAGCAGATGAGTTTTTGAAGTCAAGAGTTAAAGTGGAAGTGCTATGTCTCTTCTGGTGCTGCCTGGAGGTGTCCTTTGAAATCTTCTTAAACAGGAGGCCAACTGAAGGTGTGAATTCTCCTTTTGTTCATCCTTAATAATGGCCTCTGCCTTCTCAACCACTTCCAAAGAAGCACCAAAGCTTCTAGTAAATTAATTCTATGTCTCAAGTTCCTGGTTCCACAGTTTCTTTACACCATGTGTATTATTAAGACTGAATCTAAAAATTTTAACAAGAATATGCCAACAAATATGGAAAAGAAAGCAATGGCCATGCAGACTGGAAAGGTTCAATACACTAGGATCCCTGTATCTGCAGGGGATTGGTTCCAAGCCCCCCCCCATATGCTGAAAAATGTGGAACTCTATTTTAATAGTGAAGGTTATACGTAACATGGTCTCTCACTCCATCTTTTGGCCAGTTCTGATAAAGACATTGTGGAAATCTATTTCTCTAGCAAACACTATACATAGCATGGGCTCTGACTCCCTTTAGTGGCCACTTCTGATAACTTCATCATTAAAATATATACATATTGGGATTTTTCTTTTAATGTTTTCAATATTTTCAGACCATGGATAAGTGACTAAGCAGATAAAGGTCTTACTCTACAGTATATACATTCCAATCTTAAAGAAAGGAGACACCTGGGAGTGGAGTAACTGTGGGGTTTCATCAGTTAGCCATACTTGACTGAGCGCTCACCTTCCTGCTATCTTTAGTACCTATACCAACACCATATTTCAAAAGAGTTTTGTCCTTGTCACTATCTTTCACATACTGTGGATGATTTTGAACTTGGTTACCAGTGACATTCTTTGCTAACTCCAACCTCTTCTATTTTATTTCAGAAAATAAAGGGACATTGGTTAGAAAGAATGTACTCAACATGTTGTTGGACCTTTTCTTCAAATGTAGTTTTTCTTCCTCAGCTTACTAACTCAAAGGAAGGGATTAGAAATTGGAACATAGCTTTCCAGTCTGCATTTGGTGAGTGGGCATGGCAACATTAGTTTAACTAAGAGGTTAAAGGGTGTGTATGTTTCTCCATTGTATGTGCTGTACCTACTTACACTTTTGCTTCACGATTTCATTAAGTCGAAAACAGCCCTTCAAAATATTTTGGCACAGAAGGACTAGAGACCCATATAAGCTGTTCTCACTTCTGTCTTCTCCTAGTAACTATAGTACAGATTATATGCTTTTCTTTTAGAATCCTCTACAACTGGGTAGTTCTATATGAAGGAAATTTCTGATTGAATTTGTGTGTACCATATGTATACTTAAACTGCCATTTAAAAAGCCAGGAAATTCAGTCCTTCAAAATACTTCCAGTTTATGAATGTGGGATATTGTACTTCTGTACTCATGATTCAAAAAGCCAGGAAATGTCTCCATATTGCTGCACAATATTGGGCCCGTTGCTAGCAGGAAAAAAGAATGCCAAGCTTTACATAGCAAAGGGCAGCCTGAATGCTGCCAACACCAATGGCAGCAGTCAAAATGGTCTACAAGATACCCTCTTCTGCTCAGTACTATTCACACTTGCTGAAAAACAGCCCTGAGAATTGCTTTGTGTTTGAGTGAGGATGGGTTAACTGATGAAAAAAGGACTCAGCTTCTGGGATTTTC